CTCTCTCTCTCTCTCTCTCTCTCTCTCTCTCTCTCTCTCTCTCTCTCTCTCTCTCTCTCTCTCTCTCTCTCTCTCTCTCTCTCTCTCTCTCTCTCTCTCTCTCTCTCTCTCTCTCTCTCTCTCTCTCTCTCTCTCTCTCTCTCTCTCTCTCTCTCTCTCTCTCTCTCTCTCTCTCTCAGATCGCACTATCGCCTCCACCCACTCAACGTCAAATGTATCCTAACCGCATATGCTGACGCTACCATCGCCTCGGCCGCAATCATCACACCTGGCAGGCCGATAAGAGCGTGCGTGGCTTTGTCTTGGGCTCAACCGTCCCCAAGATCTTCTCCGCTGGTTTGGATATCACGGCCATGTACGATAAGGATGAAGCTTCTCTTGTAGAGTTTTGGACAGCCATCCAGGTGCGCACGACAGCATTCACGTCCTCCCCCAGCCCGCCCATCCTTCGCCGCACCCTCCGACCTGATTCTCTGAACCCTCGCACCATAGGAAATGTGGCTCGTGCTCAACAAGACGCGCCTGCCGTGGGCAGCAGCCATCACAGGACACAGCCCTGCTGGCGGTTGCCTTGTTTCCCTCTGTGCCGACGAGCGTGTCATGGCCAACGACGGCAAGTTTCGCATCGGCCTCAACGAGACTCAGCTCGGCATTGTTGCCCCTTCGTGGTTTGTTGACTCCTTTGTCATGGCCCTGGGTCAGCGTCGCGCCGAACGCAACCTCCAACTTGGCCGCATGTTGGACGTGGAGCAAGCCTTGACAGAGGGCCTTGTGGACTATGGCGTGCCTTTGGCTGAAGTTCGTTCCACGGCCAGTCAGTTGGTACAGGCATACACCAAAATCCCTGCCGATGCCCGCTATGCCAGCAAGATGGCCGTGCGTGGTCAGATGGTGGCTCAGCTCGAGAACAACCGCGAAAAGGACACACAGGGCTTCTTGGGCGTCCTCACGCAACCAAAAGTACAAGCTGGCCTGGGCAAGTATCTCGAGAGCCTGAAGAAAACCAAGTAGACGGGCCCGGCAGCATTTCAGAGCAAGACCTAGGCTCTGGGCTCTTGGATCAATAGTATCCCTCGCACAGTTCCAAAGTTTCTTATGCACACCCTCGGAAATCGATATCCGCAATCTGGCCGTCATTGCCCCCGTCGCTACCAGCAACAATGCACCACACGGTAACCCCTGAGGTCTTGTTCGATTCATTGGTATCATAAATGGGTCGCAAAGAGCGAGGATGTCTAAAAACAGCGACAAGGCATGGCTTGCAATGGTTTCAAGCGACGGAGATCACAATCAGGCACTCCGCCAGCCGATGGGTGGGGCATCGGCTGAACAGGCTATGCTCATGCAATAATGCATGTTAAAAAGCTGCCATTCCTCCAACTCGTCCAAGAACTCGACACGGAGCATTCTGCAAGGCCACCAGCATAGCGATGGTGCGATGAGACGTGCCAGTTGAGTGAAACTAGTGCTATAGCTCCCAAAGCCACGTCACGTACTGGCGTAGCATGGCCTCGGGAAGCTGGTCGTGGACTTGGCCGAGGTCAAAAGCCTTCACAGTGACAAAGCCATTGTCGGTGAAGCGAGCTTGCTGGGCCGCAATGTCATTCACCATCCCGAGCAGCTCACACCCGCGGCTCTGCACACAAGCACATGTCAAGAATGCTGCAAGGTGAGCCAAAGTACACAAAGAGCCACCCAAATGTTCAAAGGGCCAGACCAAGCAGGGACAAGCAAGCTGAAAAGTCATGGCGTGCGCGCATGAACATGTAAAATCATGGCACCTTGAGATTCTTAATCATCATACGCCCAAACGCGTCGTTGGGGTTCATCTATTGGAAACAGACGATCCGTCCATGTCCCGATTCATGAGATAAAACAGGAAATCTGCCCAGGCAGGTTGATTTACGCCACAAACCGGCTCATAGTCCAGCCAGTAAGCCAGGTCAAACGTTGAGCTGGTCCATTGAATGAGGTTGGCCACTGCCTCAGGGGCCATGTAAACGAGGACACATTCAGATATGACCAACAAAGGCAACCTAAGAGAGCCCATTCCATGAGAGCGCCCTTGAGAAAAAAACAACCCTCCTGATCTTGCTTGTTTCTGGGTTTTCCTTGCCCCCTCGGACGTCCCAAAGGGTTCACGCCCCACTCTTGTTTCCCTCATTCAACTCGACATGGAGCGTGAGCGAGCATTCTGGATGAGGCATACTAAACATACCCGGGGTCAAGGCGGCCGCGATCAAGCAGAGAGGCTACCTCAGAGGGCGAGGCAAGATCTGCCCCCAGCAAGAAATAAGCTGAGCCATGATCTAGATGGGCAGGCGCGATGAGGATGCTTGGCTCAATCAAGGAGCACTGTAGCTGTGTGCAAACAGGTGTCAGCACACGTAGCCGAAAGCAACTTTGAAAAGCACCCGCGTCAGCCTACCAGAGAGAACCGAGCGCAACGGGGCCTTGCTGGAGCAAATTTGGCGCTTCTTCTCCACCACTGCGGGAAAGTCCACTTCCACATAACGCCGCAGAGTGACGTTATCATTCTATCCACAAAACCATTCCCGACCAAATCAAGTTGTTGTGAAACGTGAGCATCACGAGCAGACGCTTCAAGCCAAGCAGACACGGATAGGATCACGCTGTCGCCATGCAGGCAAGTCGCTGATGCTGGCAGCAGGCGCAGCAGCCGTTGGAAAAGTTGAACAGACCATGAGGCGGAAAAAGAGTGTGTCAAAGCCTGCTCCAAGACTTAGAATTTGCGCCTGTGCGCCGTGTTGGGCGATGAAGCTGCGCACAGTTCGCTCCACCGCTTGAACCCGCACAAAGTATCCTGAACATTGCGTGGCCACGCCAAGTAAGAAGAAGCGGCCTGCTCACTCATCGGCGCGCACAACCCTCACCTCGATGGATCAGGGGCGAACAAGGATGTGTCTTCATGCCAGCGGCAAAGAGAGAGACGTAAGGATCAGCCCAGTATCCTCGGCGCACCGCGCTCCTATCACGTTGACGCACCACGACAGCACAGCAGGATGAGACCCGCATGTGGTCGGCGTTTTCTGCACGTCTGCTGCGCCGTGCGGCTCACCGCACCATTTCGCCAGCGTAGCATCATCGTTGGTGCTTTGCACAGCCTCATGTTCATGCCTCGCCACCGCCACAATCGGCGACGGCACGCCCAGCTCGGCACTGCCCTGATCCAAGTCGGCCATGTTGTCGCTGCTCGCGTCCAGTCATCTAACGCTGAGCAGTGTGTGTGTGTGTGTGTGAAATTTCTTTTTTTTCTTTTTTTCTTTTTTGTGTGTGTGTTTCTTTCTTTGACTGACCGCTTAAAAATCAATTAATGGAAACGTGATGCTTGATCAGGTAGGACGTTCAAAATGCTCTTGCAACCCCTTCGGTGACCTTTCCGCCCTCCGCCCCCCACCCTCATATCCAATCGGCGTGCACTGCGTAGATGAGCGGGCCGGGGTTGTTCTTGCTCTCTACAACAGGGTTTTTGCCAATCAACAACAACAACTACGCTATCTTTTTGTCTGTTGTGCCATAGCGTTTGCTCTTCAGCTCCTTCTCCCAATCCTTGGCGGCATGACGATACAAGGCCATGGTGGCTCTGGCGTCCTCCACCGATGAGTGCTCGCCTGTCTGAATGCGCGTGCCTGGAGATGACGATAGCAAAATGGAAAACCGGTCAGGTAGGAATGCAGATATCGATCAATATCCCGGCCCATAGCCAAGCCAGGCGCCTCACCCAGCACCAGGTGCACCAGCTTGCGCAATCCAGGGCGTTTGGTTTTGGCCTACATGAAGCGACCACACAGGAGAATATCTTTGAGAGAGAACGCAACCAGCATGGTTGACGGACCACGCTTTCATGTCTGCGATGGTCGCGGCCTGGGTGAGCTGATTGCACGAACCACTTTGTGAAAGGGTTCATACTGCGATGTATCGCGCGTGTGACGCTTGGGGTGACTCAGCAAGAGCACCTGTCGGAGTGACAGCAAAAACAACATCAACAAGAACATGCTTGTCAGAAGAGCCGTGTTGCAAGGCGCACGCGGCACAGCAGCAAGAGTGAGTGAACAGACCTTCATGTCATGCTTCAGGTCGTGTCCAACCAGCACCTTGTTCTCCAAAAGTCGAGCCACCTTAGCCTGTGCCTCCTCAAAACTAGGGGCTGGGACCATGAACAGAATAAAAATTTAAGAAAAGGAGGAGCTTCCGTATGTGGTCTGCAGCTGTGTTCACATCAACGAGGCGAATGTGATGGCGATGGAGGCAAGTCGTACCACGAAGTAAATCTTGCTTGCGCACACCACTGACTTCCGTGCGATAGTCCAAAACCCGTTCCTTGGGACGAACTACCATGGCAAAACACGAGGGAAAGCGGGGCACGGGTGGTGAGCTGGGCTTCTGTTTAGTCCATGGTCTCCAGGGGCAAGGGATAAAGTACCAAAGGTATCAAGAAGAACATCGCCATCGCGGTTGACCAGCGAAACGCGCGCCAAGAGATCCTTGGAACCCTCGCCGCCCACCATCTCGCAATCAATGGCCACATATTTATCAGCCCTATTGACCTGCATTGGTGAGAGTGGCGCAGCACTGTCGCCGGTCAGGCAGAAAGGACAAGCGTCGACCGAAATACGCACCCGCGATGCCTCGGGCCCTCCTCAACAACGAGATCGGTAGCTGCCCCATCAGCCTTGATGGCCACGGTGGTGGTTACGGTGGCAGCGCCCGCGCCCGCAGTATGGGTCGCCTTGCTGGCTGCGACAATTTCCTGTTGTGCTGCTTCATCCATGTCCTCGAGAAACCAGGGTTGCGCCGGCGCAGCCGCGCCTTTGGCTGGAGCTCGTGCTTGGCCAGCCGGCTTGTGCGTCTTGCTTCGCTTACTTGGCGGACCGGCCATCACTCTGGCCGTACATGACAACCGCATCGGCAAGTGAGAGCGCACAGGCGTGCCAAACGGCAAACAATGAAACCTGGGACCTACTTCTCGAGGATGGCTTTATCACGCGACACCTGTTCCTTGAGCGCTGTCGGATCAGCGCCTGAAGCTGTTTTCTGTCCACATAACAGACGACCGAGTATGTGAGCAGGAGCGCATGCACATGGGCCAGCCACGGTCCGGTGAACGACGGATGCGGAGTGATGGTACCTGCAGAAGCTGGCGCCAGTTGGCCGACACAGAGCTGACCCCACCCTCTTCGAAGCGCTTCACGCTGGCATTGACAGCGCCCTTACCCCCCCGGGCTGCACCGCGCCCACGACCACGTCCACGACCTCGCCCACGCCCGCGACCGCGAACGCGACCGCGACCACTCTCACCCCCGGCTGGAGCACTGGTCTCGCCCGCATGTCCCTTGTCCTTGGCCATCGTGTCGATGTCTCAAACAAGAAAACACACACACACACACACACACACACACACACGTGGCTCGACAACGCTTTTGTTTTGTGTCCTTTTTGTTGTTGTTGTTGAAATTTGGCTTTTGTTGTTTGTTTTTAGGATTTGGCTGCTGTGGAGGGAAAAGCAAGTTCCCTGTAGACACGACAGGGTGTAGAAGACAACTCCAGTCGGAGTGGGGCTGGCTCAGCGGCGATCAATTTGATCTCGCAACAAAGGACATAAGACTGATGCACTGCTGAAAGCCTCAATGAGAATTAGAGGCAGAGGTATCCCTGACCCATGTGCGTCCACAAGAGCCGACTTACTACCTCAGCGCGAGTGCACACCGCCCAGCCACACCCAAAGATACATGTCCCTTTGCGCAGCCACTGATGGCTGCCTACAAGATGGCAATGCGCGCGCTGCTGGTTTCCAGCGTGGAGGACGCAATGCTCTGTGTGTCCGAGTCATGCTCAAACAAAACATCATAGTGGTCCACCACCATTTGCAGAACCTGGAAAGGGCATGGGTTGGAACAGCTGTGAGACACTTGGCCTTCCAAAAGACATTAAACGAGTCTTGCAAACCCACGAACCGAACGGGTTTTGGTCACTGGCAAGGATGGAAAGAGGGACATGCCAAGCGAAGTGGCCAGATTGAAGACATTCATCTTGTTTGTCTCGTCCGCCACGACCTGATGCAGGCGAACATGGCGAGTGAATGGCATGGTACCACCATGAAGACTGCCATCCTCATACGCGCTGCTGATGTTGAGAACAGGAAAAAGTACGAGAAGTCCCGCACTAGGAGATGATGCCCCTCTTTGTCGACCCTCATGGGCCCTGTGGCCTCTCCTACATTGACGTGTTCTCGACTGGGCATTCTCAAAACTAGACCCACCTTGACAAAGAGAGCCGACAGCGCGCGAAGAAGCAAAAACTTGCTCGAGGCTTGCAGGTGGCGACGAGCTCGTGCTAAAGCGTGCGCCGAATGGAATACCATCAATGAGGTTGCCATCGGATGTGAAAGCGTATGCTGCGTGTTGGCTGGCTCACAACGAGAGGGGGTCTGGAGCAAGCACGCGAGCTAACCCAACGATGTGTTGGCCAGTGAGGTCGCCTCATAGAAGATCTTGGCCTCGGGTGCTGGAAACATTTGCTGGCGCACTATGAAACAATGGCGGGTCGCGCGCGAGTGAGTGCACCTTGTCATGAATCTCCAGCGCGCATGAGGATTTGAATGGGTACTTTCGACTCGACGCACTTCGCATTTTCAACAGACCCGCCACATCCTCAGCTGTCATGCCATATTCTTCAAGATTCACGTCTTGCCCTGGACAATTGAAGCGTGGTCCCAGGTGCCAAACGCAAGCAGTTGTGAGATCAGAGTCAGGCTACGTATGGCAAGCTATATCGTGTCTCGTGGTACCTTGGTTGAATCGTTCGTTGACGTCGTTGATGAGCTGGCAGAATGGGTTGTGCAAGTGCGTGACGAACCAGACAATCAAGTGTGAGTCTTCATCGAGCCATGCTTAAGAATTGGCAGGCACTTGCTGGCTTGGACGGGAACAAAGACCAAAGCATCACAATCAATGCGTGAATCCCCCACCTGGGCGCGACCTGGAACGCGGAACAGGCCTTCGCTGCGAATATTGCTACGCACGCACAGTCAAGAAAGTGTGATGAGGCAAAAGCAACAGCGCAGTCCTGCAGCCGGCTCGTGGCGCCGAACGCCAATAAAACATACGATGGCTTGGAAAGCTGTTCGATGCATGCCGACACAACCGCAGGCACCGCATCGTGCTGGGCGATCGGGAGATCATCCATGGCCATGACCGAGGGTTTGCGTCCAACGCCCGTGAATGTTGAGCTGGAGTTGAGACTGGACGAGTGCATCACATCCTGTTCCTCGCGCAAGTCTGTTCCGTTTGGTGCCTCCGAATTTTGAGCGTGTGGAGATTGAGCCTCTGTCGGGCCTCGCTCGTTGCGGCATCGAACACAGCGAATCAGCGGTGGCGAAATCTCGCTATCTATGTAGAATTGTCCTTCGGAAGAGCCGCACACAGAGCAGGCCACGCAGATCGGGTGCACAAACCCCTTGCTCCCGTAAGTCACCACCCGTTCGTCTAGAAGCCACAAGCGGGCACCGTTGAGTACCCATCATCCGGACTAACAACGGCATGCAATAATGTTCAAAAGCCTGCTTCGTTGCCGGGCAGGGAGGGCCGCGCCTTTTTTTTAAAACACCCAGTACCATCTCCTTCCTTTGACGCCAACCAAAGACAGGACATACGTAGGGCAAAGGCTGTGTCGCAGATGCCACATGTCAAGCAGTTGGCATGATACTTGGTTTTGCCCGTCGTCACAATCTACACACGCGCCACCCGAGTTGCTTGTAAGAACGGTTACAACTCGTGAGCACGGCAGTCGGTGCCACGCCTCTATCCCTGCCTCGCCAGGCACCTACGCGCTCGCCCGGTGAGAGTTGGCCGTAGCATTTGCCACAGAAGCCGCCGACGCGCATTTCAAAGTGCTCTGGGCACAGTATCATGTCATCGACATGGTAGTATTCCTCTGTGTGGGAGGGACCAAGCGGGGTACGTGCAGCTGGGGTTGAGCTGCGGCATCTAGAGCAGGGATAAACTCGCGTGGACGGGGGTGAACGTACGGCGAACGTTCTCGTGGCAGATTTTGCAGACAAAGCATTTGGAGTGCCAAAATTTGCCATCGACATCAACGACGGGTGCATCTTGCTGCCGCACATCCCGATAGCATTTTTGACAGTCCTAGGGCCAATCAAGCAGATTGGAGCGTTCAGGGTACCGGCGCTTTGGGGTTTGTGTTGGGCGTGTGCGTACGTACAAACGGTTCTCGTAGCGAATTGAGGAATGACATGCCGCCGGAAAAGGTGCTCGATCGAGCAGCTGCAGATGGCAAAGATCGCCAGTGAGAAGCTGTGTGGCGCAGATCGCGGCGCAGATCGAGCCAAATGGCCCTCCCCGCTTGTCATTGAGCGATGACACATGTATATGCCCTTGCCCTGGTCGTCAGATTGGGTTGTAGCGTCGCCCAGACGCCGCCGCGGTCTGAACCCCCCAAGCGAGCATGGCAGGCCGACGCGTTTGTGCGCACCTTTTGACTGAGCGGACGAAAGAGTGGCCACCAGTCCAAAATGAAAAAAAAATAAAAAAGTTAAAAATCCATTTTCGCCAGTCAACGAACCCAGTGAGTGTGTGTGTGTGTGTGCGGACGTGTGTGCATTTGTCGATGATTTTCGACCTATTTTTCGGTAATTTTTGTCGACTGAGAGCAGGGTTGTCTCGTTGCGCTCTCGGTGCCGACATCCGTTGGCTCGACCCCGCATATGACTGACCCGGCTGCATGATTGCGCGCAGCGTCGTGCACTTGTTTGTTTCACTTCATTTGTGTTCATGCCGATGCACAAAACGTGAAAAAAAGTCGAAAAAGGGCTTCAACGGTTCAATTCAAACAAGCGTTGGGTTCGATCCGTACACGAGATGAATTCTCGGTGCTGATGCAACAGATGAAGAGTGATACGGGAGTCGCATGCTATAAAGATTAATTACACGAACGAGCCAAATGAGCACACAGCAGTGGCGGACGGAATCACGCCACATTCTGGTTGGTGCGCAAAGGTCCAGTCCAAGCAGGACCGCATGAGCTGCCTTGGTTGGAGCGCGTTATTGCAAAACGAACGATTCACAGTAGATCGCAGACCTTGCTACAAGCCAGCATCATCGGAGTAGCGGAGACTCGAGGTCAGGGGCACGCGCAGCGGAGGTAGTGCGCGTACGCGAAGGTCAGTCACAAGTGCATCCAGATCGGCATAATGGTGCTGTAAAAAATAGCAACCGTAGGCATCGACTTGGATGGCCACCTGAACCACGTCATCCTGCTGTGCGCCCAGGTGCACGACAGAGAGGAAGAGCTGCAACTGGTCAGGATCGGCTGCCACGGGGCTCAAGTGCACGAGGAAGGCACCCACAGGCACGCCAGGTCGCCCGAGCACAGCTTCCACCGTCGCTGGTGTCAGCAGGCCCGCAAAGTAGGGCAGGTCATACAAGCGGAGGCGGCGTTGCCAGCGGGTACGATTTCTTCGGGAGACAATGCTGCGGTTCAAGTTGCGGTCGCACACGCTCGAAGCCGCGGGCACATACTGCGGCGATGAAATGCACACGATGCGAAGGGGTCGGGCTGGGCTGACATCGGGCTGGTAGTCGAGACGAGCTACATCCACCCCTGACACCACGTCAGCTCGACTCGCATCGCTCCCGTGGTCGCTCTCGCTGCCGCAGCTGAGGTGGTCTGCGGGACCAGCTGGCACAGGGCACCGCCCTCGAGACCGAATAGCAGAGAGTCGTGCTTCCAAGGATCCAGGGCAACATGATTTGTGGTGTACACCGAGTAGGGCTGGCTGACTTTGACGTACCCGCAGCGCACTTAATACTGGACGCGCCACAAGTTCGTCTGTGGCACCTCGACCCGCCCACGAGAGCGGGCGGCGGCAGCGGGCCAGGGGCGTGGGATCAAATCTGACGCGGGGCGAAGGAAGGGTCGCGCTTTCATCGCGGCCAGCCACGTCATCGGGCATCGGACGCGTTTTCGGAAGACGCAGCGTAAAGCAAGGCTCAGCAAAGCTGTCCTGGCTGGACAAGCTCAACGCATCAGACATGAGGGCGGGAAGCAGGATTCACCCACACAGGCAAGCGCGCGGCGGGCAAGCTGAAGGAGAGAAAAAGAAAAGAAGAAGAAGGAAGAAGAAGGAAAAAAAAAGGATAGTCAAGTGGTCTCTTTTCCCGGGCGAGCAAAAAATGCCACCCCCACGTAACCGCAACAGCGACGATTCTGTATGAGCTGCAGTAGACGAAGCATTTTGCTCTGTGGCAGTCCACTTTGTGGTGGCTTTGCCTCGCTGGATGATAGTCGACAGTGGTGCGGAAATGCCGGCAGCGGCGGTGGCGGTGACTGGGTTGCTGGACAAAGACCATCTACGACCTGTTGCATGATGCTGGGTGGACTGTGTCGAATCACCCTTGGAACGAGGCGTGCCTCATCTCACAACCTAAACTGGCACGCACCGCAAGCAAGCAAGCCAAACGGTGCCATATCCTTTGTGCACCTCACCTTCATCTTTGACAGCGTGCACTCCAACAAGATTCCTCTGGCCATGACGGCATGGTCAATCCAACCCTAAACCCGCCCAAGACCGAGAAGAACAATACAACCAGGACAACAACAAGAAAAAAAAAAAAAAAAAAAACCACGCTAGCAGGCAAGCCTCTGACCACACATACCACCACCCTAATCGTACGCAAGACACCACCGACGAATCAAGGCGTTTGAAAGTGGGATAGGCCACGGCCTTGAAAAGCAAGAAATTCCTACCATGCTTGCACCCCTGCTCGCGTTGACCTTTCAGTCAGCTCACCCAGGTCGCATCGCAACTGCGCATCCATACCTGCAAGCAAGCACGTATGCACAAACCACAACAAACCGCAAACTTTACAAGACCATTATATCTGACATTCTGACATTAGTTAAGGGTGATTGTCACTGCGCTCGTGCGCTGGAAGTCGGTCCGTCGGGTCACTCAGTGTAACGACAACTTGACACGGCACGGCATTCGAGCAAACGGCAGCCGCTTCCTGCAGGTGCGCACCGGATAGGCACCACGTTCTTGGAGGGTATGCTGGGAAGAGTGGGAATGGAATTCAGAAGACTGGATGGATACCGTCCGTTTGCAACTGTGAGTCATTCTTGTGTGCGCACTGTTCTCCTGCTTGAGTTTAGGTCGAGCTCGAAAGCGGCTGGTGTACACATCCCGATCAAAGAGCATGTCGTACCTTGGCCATATCGTGGCCAAGCTGTTGCTTGCGTGATTCTCTCTTGCCTTTTTTTTTTTTCCACCCACTTAGCAACGTCGCAGCGCCCCATCGATCGTGTTGTCGATCGACACCATGAGGTGCGTCACCACGCCGGCTCGTTCGCTCCCAGTGCATGCCAAAGCAATACCTCCTGTTCCAGCGTGCCGATCAGTCCCTGGCAGTACCACTTTGAGCCCTGGTCTTGATTCGGCACCATTGTGTTCTTGACCACTTCTTTCTAGTACCAGAGGCACGAATCCAGGTGGGCTAGTCGGCTCGACTGAGCCCACATACGTGGTTTCAGCCTTGCAGCCGGGCTTGGACACAGACTACGATGCCCAGGCCTTATTTGCGCTCCAGCACTGTCTCGCCACTGTACTCAACGAAGACGATGGCGATGAGGAACAGCTCTTCGACACCATTGAGGTAAGAATTCCATGCCAAGGCCCGAGTTCGTGCTTGAGCTGGAGATCCGCCAAGCCCCTGCGATGAGCATGGCTGACGCTCCTGCAGGGAAGGGGGCAAGTCAATACCCAAAACAGCAACACCAAAATGAAAGACCAAGCGAATCGACATCATTGCTCAACATTGTTGTCTTTGCGCCCCCTGCGACTCGCTCTCTCCAGCCCATCTATCAGAACCGCTTTCGCTTGAGTGCTAGGCAGGAGCGTAGCCCAGAGGCAAACGAGGCGACAGAGTTCAGATCAGGTCTTGCTGCTACATCACAGCGCACCGAGTTTGATCTCAATCAGCCTCGCACCCTTCATCTTGGTAGCAACATTGACTTGGGGGCTCTCAATGGTGCCCCGCCAATCCTGCCCCTCCCTGACTACCTCTTCCAAGCGCATGCCTACCGCCTCGTCATTTCCCTGGACGTCACCACGAGCATGGCTTGCGTTGACCTCAGTTCTGGCGAAGTGCTCTTGGATCGCATGCAAACCATCCTGCGTGCCTTCCTGACCAAACTCGTGGCACAGACCCCGTCCAGTGCCTCACCCACGACCGACACGAGCAACAGGGGCTCAACCGCCCCCGAGACCTCCCCTAGCAACCTGCCTGCTCTACACCTTACTGTTCTTGTCCAGTCCCATCCGCAGCTACAGCCCCTGCACTCGGTGCGCACCATCATCCAAGATAACGCCTTGACGCCAGACACGCTGGAAGACATCCTACAGCGCATTGCAACAGAGCTCTGCGTCATTGAGCAGACGCTCTCCGAGGCTGGTGGCCCGATTCCCGAGCCTCCACCCTTGCCTTTGCAACCCGAAATGTCCAAGCGCGTTTTTGATCATCCCCGGACCTCTAAAATTGTGCGCCAAGCCGTCCCTCTTACCCTTTCTGAAGCTCAACGTGATAATTCCTTCAGCAAAGCCCTCCGTAACGGCCTCTTTGCCCTCTCCTTGCTGCCTGACGAGGCTAGCCCGGTTCTGATTGTACTCACAGACGGCTGCGTGTCCATTCCGTCGCAAGAGGTCCTGGACACGGTCTTCTCGCGCTTTCAAAACCTTTCAGCGCGCGGTGTTTTTGTCCATGTTGGGGACACGGCCTCCAATTGCGACTTTGGCCGCATGCCGGATTCAGAGCTCATTGAACATCTGGCGCACGCAACTGGTGGTGTTGTCATAACTGGCGATGCCGTGCTCAGCGAGGCCACTGACACATCAAAGCAAGTGCCTTTACCATGGTGCAACAATGTCCAACGCGCCGTCTTTTTGCGTTCGTACCATGCGCTCGCGGTCCCTTCCGATCGTAAACAGAGCAGCACCATGCCGATTCCAGAGGAGATTATGCACCTGCTGCCCCTCAAATCAGACGAGACCACGTCCGTACCCTCCTTTGCTGCCCTTCATCTTGAAGCACAACCCCTTACGCGCAAAATCAAATCCTATGTTATGGCAACCAACATTCAGCGGTACGAAATACGCTCATGCTCGCTGTGTGCACATCGGTGTGCCGCAAATTCGTTGTTGGTGATGTCAACACTTACACTCTGGTCATATGTGATGTGATCGGGCCTCATGTAGGGTTTTCGAGCACCGCATCCGTCAAGGCTTCCGGATCTCTCACGTATGTTGCTCGCTCCCGTCAAGCTCAAAGGCAATGCCCTCGGGTCCTGTGCTTTCCACTCCGTCTGGGATCTAGTCAAGTATTGACTTTACAGGCTTGGCCTCACCAAGTGCGGCCTGAACGATAGCTGGATATTGATCTGGGTCATCGGCGTGCTCGATATGCCGCCAAAAGCCACGGGCCACCGCCTTTGAACAAGCTGCCGGAAGATTATTTGGCAGTTGTGATGGAGCTTGCGTACAAAGAAAATGTTGTGATAAGTGCGTCCGTTTTCATGTGCCCCTGATGTCTGCTTCCTTTACGCTGCTTGGTTTGCATGCACAAAAGAAGCGTGGCGACGCATGGTATCGGGCCCAGAACGCTGAGTGCACTTCCTCACCCTCGATGACCCTGCTGCTCTGCCAGTCTGCACTCTGATGGCGCGCTTGTCAACCATGTTGGGTACCGCAACGTCCACCGATACGCCCGCCTTTACTCGCGTGCGGTAAGTTTGAATTTCAGTATCGATGGATCTTTCAATCTGAGTCAAAGCCCTTCAGGTGATTGTCGAAGCATGTGTGTATTGTTAACACTGCTGCCTTGGCCTCTGTTTGAATTGCATGGAGCCGTCTACAGATTCCAGATCCGAGCAACGCACGACTTTCACCACCTGGTTCATCAGGTGTCCAATCAAGCAGGTGCTCTATCTGCCAAGGACACCAAGCTTGCTACTGCCATTCAGCTCCTTAGTCACCTCAACGGCCTGGAAAGCAGCGACCAAAAACTTGTCTTTTTCCAATCGTATACCATGGTGCCCGAAATCCTTACCCCAAAACCCGAGGTGAGACTCATGGTCATCTTGATTCTTGTATCCTCTCGATTATCCTTCTTTTTGCGAGAGGACACGGCTTCTGCTTGCCTGGCCCTGCCAACATCTGATGCGATTCGGTGCATCTCGAACATGTGAAGGCCTTGTCGCGGTCCTCCGCTTTGTTCATCCGCACGGCCACGGGCGAACTACAACTGCCTGAGAGTGTGGCTGCCCATCTCGACATGGCCTCTTCTGCTGGTACGGCATTTTTTGGTCTCACTCACTTTACACAACAGCCATTGGCATCCAATGTCTCCCCCCCGCTTCCTCCTCGCCCCCTCCCTTGGACGTTCGTCGTGGCTCATGTTGCTTGAATCTTTAGGCGCATTCTGGAACCTGGTTGCTGGCCTTGACGAGAGTGCTTTAAGTCAATGCTTGCCGCAACGTCAACTCTTTTTCCTCTTGCGACCCGACAATTACGGCTTACCTGGGTAAGCCGAGGGCAACTAGATTGCATGACTGCTTGATTGCGCGTTTGTCACACTGAGACAGCAAACTTGTTCACTGCATCTGTGTTCTTGCTTTTTTGCAGCACAACTGGCATAAAGGCGGGCAAGTGCGAAGAGCATACTTTCCACGACGCTGAGGCCCAAGCGCACACGCTATTGGCTGCGTGGTGCACCTTCCGCCTGCTGGATAACAGCTATGTCCGCTTGGTCTCAGGCAGGAGGGGCATGCCCAACGTGCTCGTCCTCCACACCAAATTTGACGGTGGCCTCCTCGTACTCACCTTGAACACACTCATTGTGGACCCGCATGACCGATTGCAACAAATTGCCTACCTGCGTCAAATCTTTGACAGCCAGCCCATGGCCACGGCCGACGCCAGCCATCTCGACCCAGCGGTGAACCCAGCGCCTAGCACAAACCCATATGACCCATCTTCTTCCCTGGCTGCCACCTCCACCGGCAGCACTTCTGCCTCGACGGCTCCAGTGACGGGACTGACGGATACTTCGCACTCTGCCTTTCCGTTTTCACCGACAGGAGATAAAGTTGAGTTTTTCCCCAAGCAAACTCAACCCACAGCCTTTTTCCGTCGCGTCATCAATGCCCACCAAGAACCCGTGCTTTTTACGCCCTACTTGCTTGTCCCTGTTGCGCACAAGACGGTGCGTGTGCTGGCTGACTACAAGCGTCTGCCATCCAATATGACCTCATTTGGCGGCAGTCACAAGCCAGACCGTGGGGCTGCCCTGCGCGTCATCTCTTCTTTGGCGCAACAACGCTGGGTCTTTGCTCTGAGCAGCAAACATGGTCGTCTTGGCCGGCCAGCCGTCGTGACTCAACAACTTCTGACGCGCCGCCTGCGCGAAGGATTTTTGCTCGTGGAGAGCAATCGAGCCTGCTTGTCGTTGGTACGCGAGCTCGCAATCCGTCGCCCATCGGGCGAGGTTGGCACGTTATCTGTGCAGTTTATTCTCTTTCAGCGCACTTACGACGTTGCTGCCATGGAAGCCTGGGCCGAGCCCGAGGCCGGTGTTGTGCTTGATGATCCTTGTAACCCACTTGCCTTGGTGGGTAAATCCTGTGCCAACGTGGTCCAGAGCGTCTTTGAGCATGATCTGGCCCTGATTGCGGCTCTCAGCACCTTTGACACGCTGTACGAGCGTCTCTGTAATATCGTTCAGGCGGACAACAAGCCCTTCGGCCCGCTGGAACCGCCATTGTTGACCGAACAGCAGACGTTGTATGACAAGCGTGCTGGTGCCACTGTGCGCATTTTGCCGCCGCAATTCGATATTGTTGCTCTTTTGCACGTGGCCCAACAACACAATTTTGCGCTTCGCTCGTTTGAAGCCAGCTCCTCCCGTGATGCTGCGAAGAAAGGCGGTGAATCGAGCGCTGAAAGTGGAGCTGAGACCGCAGTTGAGCGCACCTCAGTGGATCTTCATCAGCAAAAATTGGATGGTCTGCAAGAGGAGCCACCGCAACTTGATGCCCTCGCACCGGGAACCTGCCTCGTGAGCGCGCACAACCTCCTGGTTGTGCAGTTTTTGGCTCATCTAGAGCAAATGACCGATGCGGAGCTCAAGCTCAGTAGTAAGGATCAGGGCAACTTGCGTGCCATGCTGGGGAACGACGAGGCCTTTGACAGAAGTGACACGAACGTACCGGGAGCCGACGGCCTGTACCGTTGTTTTCTTAAGCTGGACGAGCACGATACCATGTTGATTTACGTGATCGAGGAGGCGACAAATCGCGAATGCTTGCATCATACCACAAGTGAAGCGCGGCGATGCTGCATTCTGCCCATGTTCTCACCCGACACAACTGCGACAACGCCACACGTCGATTCGACGCCTGGCCCTGCAAGTGAGAGCTCATTGGATGATGCGACGGCCGATGACAGTGTGCCAGGCGAGGAAAGTTCTCGTCCCAACCCCAAAAGTTCCAGACGGAGCGTGAATGAAGCTAGCCCGGGCTCGCCAGCACCGCGGTCACCCGCTGCTACCGTATCGCATGAGACGGTGGCACACCGCAGCTGGCGCATTTTTTGCTTTGCCTGCTCCTCGGCTCAGTTGTTGGAGTCGGCTCCCTCCTGCGCTCCCGGTGCACCCTCTTCCTTTGATCTTCGATCTGCAACCCTGCCAGAGCTGCTGTATGACCATGGCAAGCGTGACTACCGCACCGCAGCAGGTGTCGGCAAGGCTCAAAAAGAAGGTGCCTCGCCCACCGGGACCGCCGAGCAGGCGCACGGGCAAACACTTGAGCCCTCTGTATCAGAGCGCAGTGAACCTCACTCGCGGCGTGAACCAGGCCCAGGCCCTCACGTTGTAGCGGACAACGGTCCAGGCAGTACGGCGGCTGGATCAACCGCCCCTCGAAACCAAGGCCTGCTCGACATGCCTGTGGACATGGTGGCGGTTGTTCGGACAGCCTTTGCCCGGGCCTTTTGCGCCGCCGCGTTTGTTCGGATGCAGCAGCGCCTCTATTTGCACGACGACGACTTGAGGGAGGCTCTCGCATGCTGCGACACCCAAAGTCGCGCCTCGTCGCTAACTGACCTTGTCATCGATCTGGAGCGGTGGCGTGATCACGAGGTGGCGCCAGGCTACCAGGCGCGTGACCTGGGCTTTGACGTGCGCCGTCGCTTTGCCGCCATTCTCGAACAAAAGTTTGCTTTTGCCAGCACGATGGAAGTCGACAATCTTTTCTATCGCGAGCATCCGCATCTCAACATAGCCGTGGCCTCCCCCCGCATCGTTCTGCCAACCGCAGCGCATGATGATGGCGAGGATAGCTTGTCTCGCACGACGAGTGTCGGGGTAGGGGCCTCTCCCGCTCTGACTTATCGCAGCGTGGGCCCTAGCCATGCCGTGGGCTCGACGAGTCTAGGCGCGCTGGCAACTTTTGCTCTTCAGGGAGCGCAGGTACCGGTCAATTTGGACACACGCACCGAGACTCAGGCCAGCGACCAAGCCTCCAATACCTCATTAGACGACGACTTTGATTTCGAGCAAAGTGCGCTTTTACGCGTCCAGCCCATGTTCTTGGAGCTCTGGCTTCATGTTACGATCAAGGGTGGGTCGCGCGTTATCAACGCACCCGTTCGCCACCTTGCGCTGCGCTTGGAGGACATGCCACCTGAGCTGCAATACGCCTCTCTGGACGATCTGGAGGATGTGGGCATTGAGCTGCGCTTGAAAACACTGGCACCACTTACTTATCAGCGGACAGGCACTTTCTTGGCAAGCAGCGCCCATGGGAACAGCGGGGCGATGCGTTTTCTCGCCGACTTCCATCGTCAGTGTGAATGGCTGTTTCGAGACGAGCGCTTGTCTTTGCAGCGCTGTGCCTTCAAGCCGGAGCGCACCTACTGTCGGCAGCTTGTACAGCATTTGCGCGAGGCACCGCCCGTGCACACGCTGGCGGGCATTGAGACTCACGAGCTGCGGCTGCCGCGCTTGCAATCTGTGTCACGGCTTTCGGCAGAAAAGGTCTTGCACAACGAGTTTTGCCTCGGTTTCATTCCCACGCTGCATCACATGCGCATTGGTGACTACATCGTGCTTGTACCCGCTGAGTATCTTCCTGCTCGACCCCGCAACTCGCCCCCTGCAGCCGCCGCCGCCGCCTCTGGACGGAGCTTGCACGAACTCTTGCGCTGGTGCCGAGAAGAGCCCGTGCCCTTCTGCCGGCCACCGGAGGACAGCGGAGGCGTATGGTGCCTGTCTGAAGAGCAAACCTCGTGGGACACCATTACACGTCCGGAGGTGGACATTTCACATCACTATCAGCTGCGACGCGAGGAAAGTCCGGCCTCGCTGCCTTTTATGCTCATGTTCCGCCTGCACCATGGTGCGATTGAGGTGGTGTTCCACACGCGCAACGAAGAGTTGCACCCCATCGAAGAGCGAGCCAAGCAGTCCGTGAATAAAATCATCGAGCTCATCTTTCACCGCGTTAACCAGCAAATGCTGTTGGCCGACGCAGAGCAAACGCACTCGGCGTCACCATTGGTGCTGAGCCCATCCTGGTTGCCAAAGATTACACGACGTGAGCAGTATAGCCCACCGTCTGAGACCGATACCAGCCTCTCCGTCGTGCGCGTTCATCAATATGATGATTTGTCCGCTGGGCGTGGTGAGGGCCGACGTGCTTCAGTCAGCTGGGGTCGATCTGTTACCGAAGATGCATCTTCGCTGCATTTGATAGGAAGTGAGCCCGCAGAGACGGCCTCGGAGTACGGCCGACCCAGCTCTGTGCTTGAGCCGGACCACTACTTTCCACCCGGTCACTACGCTGGCAATCTGCTTTATCGCTGCGCTTTTAAACTGCATCCCCGCTTGCCGGCTCAGGAGGCCCTCTCCGTTGCCGTCAGCTGCCTCGAGACCTTCCAACTCGTGGAGGAGCCATTGTGGTTTTTCTTTCGCGATGAAGACACCGATGCCATCCATCTCTTACACGTCACAACCTCCACGGTTGAGCAGCAGGCTCTTGAGGCAGATACTATGGCTTTGCGCAGCGCCTCTCAGATTGCGGCACGCCCCGATGAGCCTCCTGTTCTCCTCAACGGAACCGAGGTGCGCACTGTTGAGGTGACCAGCGTCTATTCCGATGATCAGAGCCTGGTCAGTGGTAGTTCTGGAGCAAGGGCCAATGGCACCCCATGCCTGGCCCTATACGTCTTTGGGCATCGTTGCGTGAGCAGCTCCGTGCACCAGAAACTTGTCAAGATGATATCAGCGCGGTTGGACGAGAGTATTCAATTTGTTTTGTCTCTGCAGCTCCTGCGCAACCCCAAGTCACGCCTGAGCTCCTCTGATCTAGATTTTTTGCGGCCCAGCCCAAGACCCTCACATTGTTTGCGCTGGGCTCTGCCTCGCGCCGTGTGTGACGAACGAGTGTTTCTTCTACTGCTCAAGCACCAACTCAAGATGTTTTTGCTTCGCTTGCACCTCGGGCCGTCAGCAGCCAAACGCGAAGCTGCCATTGCGGAAGATGACGCAAGGCCCGATTACTGTGTTGATCCACGCCGCCGCTGGGCCCACATGCCTTGGACGCAACACGCCTACCTGTACAACAAGAGCGATGGGTCAAGCCGCCTTGGCAAGCCCAGCCGTGTGATGTCGGACGACGGTCACGGCCTCGCACTATTGACGGTCAGCACGCGTGAGGCTGAGGCCCCTGACATGGACGCTGAACTTGTGGAAGACCGAGCCCACTTTTTTGCCATGCTGGAGTCAGCGTCGGACAAGGCTTTGGCCGAGGCGTCCCTCAGTGAGTACCGCCGGGATGCCCTCAACGAGCTTTTGGGCGCCCAAGCCATGCTCTTGAGGCCAGCGCTGGAGGCCAACGATTATGCACGGTCTTTGATCACCATTCCCTCACCACACGAGCCTGCAGCCGATACGCGTTACCTACAACTCGATATCTGGAGCCATGGCACGGGCCTGCGACCCGAGCCTCTTTTGCGGCGCTTGCTTCAGTCCATGGCCTTTGCCTGTATTGACTATGCCCTCGAGATGGTGATTCAGGTGCACAGTCCGGTGCGCTACCAACTACCATCCATGCCCGTGGCAGATTTGGGCGATGCGACTAATGGCCGCAGCGCAGGGCCAAGGGTCATTTCCAAGCGGGAGGCGCGCAGCTTTGGTAATCGACGGCGGAGTCATTCGGTGCCGGACCCGGCTCAGACGAGCGCTGTGCGACTTGTTCTGAATGATCTGGCTGCCGTTGAGGGAGCTCGCTTGTTGGCAAGTTGTGAAGCGGCCTACTACGCAATCAGCACTCATCGATATGAGCTGGAATCTACCACTCGCCAGGATGCCCTTTTGCACCGGCTGCGTCGCCACCTTCGGAAGTACAATGCCGCTCTCTTTGTGGGCACGACGGAGCTTCACTTGCAGCAGGAGTTGGCATACGAAACCACAGAGGATCGCAAAGCCGTCATCGTCCTGGGATCCAGCCCGGCTCTGCTGCTGGCTGCGCAGCAACAGGCGCTGATGCTGGACACCCGTCTCTCAGCGCCGAATCCGAGTTTGGGCACGCCGGGTGTGGGCGCTCGAAGCGGTGGGGTCAAGGGAAGCACTCCCTCCGGACCTGCAAGTGCCGAATCCACCAGCTTGCGTCGCTCAGAATCGACAGACTCAGAGGAAGGCGCCAAGCGCCATTCGCACGGTTCAGCGCAGGGTGGGCGCGGTCTCGCTGGTCTCGGACGCCGCGGGGGGATTGACCGATCCCGATTTCTCGGTCGCCAGGGTCGCAATTTTCCTCCAGGCGCTGCACCCACCGCTAATCAGGCACAAGGTCCTGTCAAACCAATGGACATCATTCTCGGGAAAGGCAGTCAGGGATCTTTACTCGTGGACGGTGCGCGGCATTGGCTGGTCATGCTCACGGTGGGCGCGGACTCTCTTACGGCCTTGGCGTACAATGCACAATCGGACTTGTTGTCAGATATCGACGGTATCGTTCGCAGTCAGGTCAGCTGGACAAACGCACGCGAGGAAGCGGCAGCGGGTGTGGTCCTCAGCAAGTTGGGGTTGCCAGCCCTGGTGACCACACACCATCTGCGCTCTCAATTAGCCGAGGGCAAGCTGACCGACCTTCTACGACATCCATCCCCGCCTGCACAGCGTGGAAGCAATGGCGTTGCAGCAATGGCAGCAACGTTGGCGGCAACAGGGACCACTTCGTCAGGTGCAGCATCATCAACAATGGCGGCGCCCTTGGAAGAGGATGGTGCAGGGGGAGCGCTCACATCGGATGAGCGTCGGGACTGGCCCACCGATTTCTTTGATGTTGTGCGTCAACATCCGTCAGCGCCCTTGCGAGTGTCTGCAGCACGGGACGTGGTCAACCAACAAGGCTTACATTTACTGGCACTCCAACGAGCGGACACGCTTGCTCGCCAGCGCTGGATTACCATTCGGCGCAAGCACATTGAGTGGCGCGAGAAAAGCAAACGACGCGAACAAAGCATCAAAACGGGCGGTTACCCCGAGCCAGTTCCCTTTGTGCAAGATTTGCTCGCATGTATGCGGCATTCGCATTATTGCGCCAGTCCCATCTTGCCCCGCCTGCAGCATGACGGTGAGGGTGAAACAATGCAGACCGTGCTCCCGGCTCGCGAGGCTCTAGCACATCGTCTTCAGCTGGACAAGGCTCGCGATATCTATGTGCACTATGCCGAGCAAACCTTGGGGTTTGCACAAACTCTGCGCACAAAAGACGCTTCGTTACCGGAGCTGCGCATCAAAGCCGCATCGACGCCCCACGCCGAGGTGGAGCTGGATGCGCTGGAGACTGGACACATGTTTTTGCAGCGCTGCAGCAACTACCTGGAGGTGCGCGGGGCAATTGTGCTTGAAGTCTTTGGTCGAGGTGCTTTCCTCTTCGTGCGCATGTATAGCATGCATCGCTTGGGCTTTTTATCACAGATGGGGGATGTGACCTACGGTGCCGAACGTGCACAGGATGCGCACCCACGCGAGTTTACTCGGCGCTGCGGTGATTTGCAGGACGACATGCATGTGCATTCTCTTGCCTTTGATTTTTCCGTTCGCGAGATCAACCGCCTGTTGGATGACATGAGCACCCCGTTTTCCGTGCCGCAACTTCTTGAGAGTCTTGTACGAAAGCACCCGAAGCCACCGCGATTTGCGCACAACTTTGCAGGTTGCAGGCTTCTCAGCCCAAGCGCAGTGTTGTTGCAGGGGCGAGAACATCTGACGCCACGTTGCCCACTCATGCGGATCGCGGAGAGTGTTGCCAAGGAATTTCAGATGGAGCCGGACGATCTCATGGCGCGCGCACCGCATGATGACCGGCTCCTCAGTCGGCTGGAGCAAGAACTACCCTCGGAGCTCGTGGTGGAGGCCCTCATGATCCGCATCTTGTCCGAGCCAGAGCGGTACAATCTAGTGTTGCGATCCACCAGTCACTCTAGTCGACACTTGCTGTTCATTCGGCCACAGGGCGATCGCCGTCTCGAGTGTGCTCTGGTTGTATTGGTGGACCCACTCAAGCTGGCTCGGGACACACGCGAGCTTAACAACGGTGAAGTGCGTCATGGCTATACGTGTCTCTTTGTGGTGTGTGTGTGTGTGTGTGTGTGTGTGTGTGTGTGTGTGTGTGTGTTTTGAAGATGATGCTTAGTGGTTTTGTCAGAAGCGCGAGTGATTTCCAAGAAATCGCACATCAAAACGGTGACAGGAAGTCAGGGCTCACATGATCTTATGCTCTGAAACAGGACTCTCGATTTCGTTTGCAATATTATGTGCTAGCCAGTACCATGGGTATCAAGGTGCCGAAGGCCCAACCTCGTTTTCGGGTCAGTTGATGCCCTTGGTTGCCACATCTGTTTTTGCAAGTGCTCTTTGTATATTTCTTCCTGATCGAGTTGTGGGTTTGCACCTTTTCCCTCATTTGAGCAGGGCTCGCGTGACGACGGAGAACCCATGCCGGTATGCGGGCCTGTCTTTTTCAGCAAAGAGCGCTTGGGGATCGGCCAGCTCACTCCGGGCCGAGCGCTCCCTTGTCTCCCCCGCCCCTCTCCTTCATACACACGCGGCGTTTCAAAGTCTCACTCACACTGGGTATCTGTCCTATTCGACTACATTTGCAGCTGCTTGAAACGCATGCGCGGCATGCAGAGCTTTGCGAGCGAGTGTTTGCACACACGCTTGCGCGCGCTTACAAGCATCAGTGGCGGGACAAGTGAGTGTGTCGCTGGCTTCATCGCGCTCCCTTACATAAATCACCGCGCCATTCAGTGTATTTGCTCGATTGTCTTGCTTGTTAGCTTGTGGAATCGGCTGCGTGTGTTCACCGCGGATAGCAGTCTGGAGCACGGTACTGAGCCCGCGGCTCCCTCATCGACGGCTTCGAGCGCAGCAACCCCCGTCAGCGATGTTGGGGCAGTACGGCCCAAGCGATCGGGACGCTTCTCTTTGTTTGGCCGTAAGGCAGGGCGTGTGGAGACGGCCACGGTCACAAGTGCCCAAGCTTCGGGCCTGAGTGCTGCGTCTCCCTCCTCAAGCATCACGCTGCCCGTTATTCCGTCAGCCGATGAGACAGTTCAGGCTTGGGTGATCGAGTTGTTTGTGCTCAGCCACCGCGTCAACTTGACCAGCACAGACGCCAGCATTGCAGCCCTTGAGGCCATGCCTGAACTGTGGCCCCACCTCTTAGTTGCTTTCATGCGGCATATGCCTGGTCAAACGCTCCTGGTGGAGAAGGTGCGTTGTCTAATTGTCATTCTTCTGCTGCGCATGGACCTCTGAGGCTCAACAAGACATCTGCCGTGCCCGATAGTTGCGCGCACCAAGTGCGGAGCCACCAGTGATGGATAAGGATTCCTCCAGCGGCCAGTTGAGTGAGGAGACAGCGCCGAGCGTTGTGGCCGTCGAGCAATATGTCCAAGAGTACGATCATTTAATCGTGTTCAACGATCAGGAGCAAGGCGTCGCCGTGGTCATCACGCGGCTGGGCGAGCTGCTAAGATTTCTGCTTATTATAAAGGAGGTGCGTGGGACTTGATTGCTGCAGAGCCTAGACATTTGGGTTCATCTGATCCTTGCATGTTGCTTCCTATAGCTTCCGCCAATGGCCACGCGCCAGTCCTCCGGTGTGTTGGCATGTCTGTCAGGCAGCACCTCAATGGGGTTTGGATTCGGCATACTTGATTGGACATACGCCACGCTCACCTGCTCCTTTCCCGTCTGTGCTTGTACCTGCGTCCCAATAGGTGGCGCCGTGGCTATGGCTCTTGCTGCAGCGACGCCTTCACCGGTTTCAGAGGAAGCACTACGTCATGCGCAGGTACGCTGATGGCACGTTTGTCACAGGAAAACTCATCCAGCTCACGCTGTTTTTGAGGGCTCATGTTGCTTCTCTCTGCTCGGGCTTGTGGCGGCGTAGGCATGTGTTAATGTCATGTTAGCCGCTGCATGGCAGCGCCTGTGATTCGGGATCACTCTTCCTGCAGAGTTTTGTTGTGTTGAGTTAGCCGCTGCCTGGCAGCGCCTGTGATCGGGATCGCTCTTCCTGTGTTAAGTGCAGAGACAAGCTAGTTTGGTCATCTTCTGTGAGTGTCACCCATAATAAGTGTTACATGTACGTATTCTTTAGGCGAATCAAGGAGTTTCAAATCAGTTCTTCCATGCCACACTGTATACCAATATGAACTAACAAGCACATACACCAATTGCACAGCCTCGCGCTCAAATCGCATCCAGGGCGATCGTCTCAAGGTCAGGGTCACGACAAGGAGTGAGTTCGCACAAACTCAAAAATGATGGGCATGTAACGGTCGTAACGGTCAAACAGTCAAAAAAAAACAAAACTGCAAACTGCAGTTTTAACTGTTTTTAACAACATCGATCGATGTAAAATTAAAATCCCTCGTTCTTTCATTCAACACACAAACCGACCGCGATGGCGACGGCGGCAGACCTTGGGTTGCCAGCAGCCGATCAGCTTCGGTTCTCGCTTTATCATCCCGATGCAACACCTTCCTACGGGCGGCATGGGAGCAACGTAAGAGCTAGCTTTGCATTGCGAGCTCTGTCGCTGTTTTGAGCTCGCGTTTTCGGATGGGGCATGCATGTCCGACACTGTTCCGCCCTGCACTGCTCAGATCTTTTCTCACATCCCAATTGCTGTGTACTCACGTGTTTGGGTGAGGCAGGTACACCCCTTTTTGGGCACAACGCGGCCACAGCGTGCAGACGCTGATAGGCGAACAGCCCCTCGCGTAATGGCTCATGCCAGTCTGAATCCGGTCAATGAGGCCCGGGCCATGGAAAGTCAGCCGCCGGCTGCCTCGTCGGCGTCAGCACCGGAGTCAACTACTGTCATCGAGGCTGAGACGGATGACTCGTCCCTCTTTCCAGCAGTGATGGAACTTCGCCTTCGTTTACGGCAAAACCTGGTCCGGCTTAAGCTGTTGGCGCAGACGCAAAACTTGCGGGGGCGCCCACAGCCGGGCCCAGCGCGCTCGGCAGCGCACGATGGAGCTGCGTCTGCGAAATTGGCTGCCCAGGCTCGTCAACTCAAGGTGAGCAGCGAGCGTGAGCCCGCTGGCATTGCAGCTCAAAACATGGATCAAGCATGTCCCTGGGTACAGCGCAGTGCCTGCTCATGCTTGCACAACCTTGTTTGGCTTCTCACCCGCCGTAGCGCCGGTGCGACATGCAGCCCGACTCCCTGAAACTTGAGGTGTGTCATGGTTGGTTCGTGTGATTCATGGTAATTTCTGTCTGCCAAACTAAGTTCAGAGCTTGGTCTTCATGTCGGCCATGGGCTATAGGAGCTCCGAGACCTTTTGGATCGCATCGTTCTGGCGTTGGAACACCGTGAGGTCGATGATCAGGACCTTTTCGAGGCCGCACGGCACATTGAGGCCACCTTGGGCACGCACATGCCAGTTGCTGTGGCTGAAGAGGTGCGCGTGCAATTCAGTGTTTGCCTTGTCTGTTTGTCATCCTCCTCAACTGATGCACTCGGTCTGATTCTGGATTGATCTTCTCGGGCATGTTGTGTAGAGTGGACGACCGCTGCGCCTTAAGCAGGTATGAGAGCTCCTGTTGTTTGGCATGGCCTGGCAGGTGGAGTCAAGCGCCTTCAAAACTTCCTGTACCCCTTGCACACGTGCAGTCTCAATGCCTTTTGCGTATTGTTGTTCAAAGCTCCTAGCTGGTGCTATGCATAGATGCCAAGCGCGGCGGCCAGCCGAATGGAATGACCGATTTCATGTGCCAGGTATGACAAGAGTCGGCGCCCGGTTCTGCTCGGTTCTGCTCGTACAACGGGGATTTTGCACAGTCATGGCACCTTCTGTCTCATGGTGCCACTGGTCTCAGCAACACAATCAGCAGCCGATCGGCGGCGGGAACGAATTGCCTTGAGCTTGGCAGAGCCTACTCGAGGGCCACCTGCAATAATGGCACAAAAGGAACGCGAAGGGCGGAAGCCTCAGGCAGCCTCTTCTCGGCAGCCTGCCGCTCGGCTTCGCAGACCCGCTCAGATTCGTCGCGAAACCGGAGGTGCACCGCGTACGGCACTGACCCGCGGGCCTCAAGGTGCAAATCATCTGCATTCCGCACACACGCGCGCCCCTGTGCAAAGTCGGGTTACGGGTCGCTCAAATACAGCACACCGGGCTTCCCAGCATCAGCCTCATGCTGCCAGCGTTGCCAATTCACAGCGCGCTGTTCGTGGGCCACGAACACAGCTTGACCGAATGGTAAAACCTGCCGATCAAGCAAGCCCGGCGACCCCAATGAGCGTTACACCAATGCCTCTCGAAGCCACAGACAATCAGTCTGCCGAGTCGATGGCGCCCAATGGAGATTTGGAGCAAAACATCACGCTGTCTGCTGAGCAGCCGGTGCAGGGCGTCTGCGAGGCACATGCTGGTGAGCCACCCATGTCCTCGCTCTCCGCGGTCGACCCGATGCACGACCCGTTGAGCAAGTGCACTGTGGCGCCGGTGCTCGATATGACAGCCGCTGCGGCGACCAATACTTTATCAACCGCGACCGACGAACTCCCGAAGAGCCCACGTATGGGCACGGTGGCGAACCAGACGAATCATCAGCTGGCTGCAATGCATGAGCTTCGGCGCGATCAGCCTGTTGCAGCGTCTGCACCTATTTCATCGCGGGAAGTGACACCTCAAGTGAGCCCGCCTGGGGCGTCGGCTAATGTTCAGCTGCCACACGCCGAGACGAGGCCACACATACCGAGCTCGGCCCGCGAGCAGCTGCAGCAGAGTCTGGCTCGCCTGCGTGCCCTCGAGCTGTCCTTACGCGAGCACGCTTCGAACCGCACATCGGGAGCACTTCGTGCGCGGTCAATAGAGCCTTCTTTTGCGCCAAATTTGCCATGCACACCTGGTGGGACCGGTATGCCACCCGTGGCGTCCTGGTCGTCAACTTTGGACAGCGGCGTTATCTACAGCCAACCACTAACTGCGAATCTCCGAGGGGCAAATGCGCCCGCCCACCCGCCCGCCCCGTCAACTGCTCAACGTTGTGATCGCACACCCCTTTGTTTGTCGCCGGCTCAGCTGGCATCCTTTGAGGCGTATCGGGTACGAGTCTTGTTTGCACAGAAACACAGCGCGCATGAGAAAAGAAGAGAGAGAAAGAAAAAGGAACAAACTCAACTCGCCTGCCTTCTTGTTGATTAAGGCAAGGTTTGGGCCTCACTACCTTTGTGCCCAATATTGCATGACTTGTAGGAGAAATACCGAGATTTTTGCCAGCAACGCCGGTGGAGTACGGGTGTGGCCAGGGCTGACATGGATGGCTTGGTCGAGGTCTTGTACGATGAGCTGTTGCATATCGTTGCGAGCGAGACGAGCACTTGCTTGAACGAGGCATTGGATGAGCTTTTGGATATGGAGCTGCGCTTGCCCAGCGCGATGGCAGGTGTGCGGGTGATGCTGCCCCAGGGGTTGGATCAGCAACCGGAGCCAGCTCTACGCGACACACCGCCGGTTGCCGAGGCGGGTCTGGAGGGTTGGGTGGCACACACGAGTTTGGGAGCCGAACTGACTGCCAGTCGCAAGGCCGAAGCATTCCTGGCGGCAAGTATGGCGCAGGGGACGCATCGCCAGGGCCGGGAGGGACGACAGCATTCAACAGGGTCAACGCAGATGACTGCTGTTCAACCTGCCACACCCGAAGCTGTGCCGGCGGCCTCGATGGAGCCAAGTCCTTCAGCAATTTTGCCATCCTCACCTACCAAGGATCCTTCTCCAGAGCACACTTCAAGCTTTACCAAGGATCCTTCTCCAGAGCACACTTCAAGCTTGGATATATCTGATGGAGAGGGCCTGCCTCAAGCGCCGACGGAGGAGCATCCACGCCCGGTCTCGCCTTCTGGAGGAAATGCAATTGACTTTGACCAATGGAGCCTTGGCTCATCCGTAGGTGCCAAACCCGCCCAAGTGCAGGGCCAGGACGACCTGTCTGGCCTTCAGACGTCGCCGGCCATACCGCCAAGGGTACATGTGGAGGAGGCGGAGAGCCGAGCATTGTCAGTGTCGGCGAGTGCTGATGAGCCTGAGCCTTTGACGCAGGGGCAGTTGTCTTCTGACGCGCAGTTGTCAACACCTGGTGCGCGCTCCCTTCGGGAGACATCGGTTCTGTCTTCTTTTTTCGGCTCGCCGCTGCCCTCGGGTGCGGCGCGGTCCATCGTGGCTGAGGACTATTCGATGGATTTTGATGAAACCAACGGCGTTGCCTCAGCTAGCGAAGTACCCTCGGCTGATACGCTCCGCTCTTTCCCGGACAGCGGAAGCGAGGAGGAGTTGGAAGAGTAAGTGCTGGCGGTTGTTGCTGCCCTCCCCGCCCTATTCTTTGAGAATGTTCAATTGAGTTGTGATATCGGGTCATGTGCATCCTGACTCAAACTTGTTCACCTATCATGCTTTTCATCATCGCTCCAACATGTGTGTCGAGATGCATGCTATGCATCTCCCGTGCCTCTAAAGAAGTAGCAGCGAGTTGTTGAAAGAGATCTTGAGAGAGAGAAGGAAGAGAGTAGAGCTTGGGAGAGAGAGCTTGACAGAGAAGAGAGAGCGAAGAGGTGAGAGACAAGAGTGCGAAGAGGTGAGAGAGAAGAGAGCGAAGAGGCCAGAGCAAGAGCGAAGAGGAGAGCAGAACGTTGGCAATGTGGGCCTGCAAAGAAGAGAGTCCCCATCTATCTTTAATTTGTCTTACAATTCGCGTTTGCGGCGAAAAGGACATGGATGGGTGCGGTGGGTTGTTGTTTGGGTGCGGTGGGTTGTTTCCTCTTTTCCCTGTTAGCCCTACCGGCAGACACCCTGCCCTTGAGTGCGCATGCCCTTGGATCTGAACACTGTTGGATCTGGACACCTCTGGGTTTTGCTGCTTGCCTGCTCCTGATACACTTGCTGAGGGTCTTGTGATCTTGCTTGTTTCGTCTTTGGACGGATTTCCCCTGGATGCCAGGCAGCGCCCAGCCCGCTTTCGATGGCTAGCTGCAGCCCTAGATGACATGGCTGGCAAGGCGAGCGCGACAGCACACGGTCAGATTGCTTGTTCTATGCATGTGCAGGCTCGCGCGACCAAGTCCCCCAATTGTCGTCACATTTGTCTGATGCTTGACCTGATGCTTCAGGGTGAATGGGAAGTTGCCAACTCCCGCAGTTTGGGTTCATCTCGCTACTTGGCACCGTCAGATCGCGATGCAACAATCCGCGGCACTGGCCTTGCTGGGCGCCCTCGGGGGGCTTGTTGTCCTTTGCCTGCTTCTTATTGTTTGGGTCGTATGCCGCCGGCGGGCGGTTTGGGGCCGCATTCGTCATGATGCCAGCCCGTCCAGCGAGGCCGATGCAACTATGGGTTCATGGCGGCTCAAGACCGCAACAACTGAGCTCCTTAGGTCGTCCCATCGCTCCCCACCACGCAACTTTTTGCCGGCCAACCGGCCCGATTTCTCCGAATCCTTCGCCGGCCTGAGCACAGCGCGACCAGGATCGTTTGCTGGAGGCTGGAGTGTTGACTCCGATGATGATGTGGTGGCCGCCGGTCCGTACGGTGCTGGACCCATGGATGGCTTGGACAATGAAACTTCGCTTTCCCATGTCCAGCTTCTGCAACTGGCGTTGCGCAACGATTTGCCCTTTCTGTTGCGGCCTGAGGGTCAACTCTATGTTGTCGTGGCCCAGCTGCTGCCCAACGGGCGACCCTCCGGTGCGTGCTCACTGCTGCTTCAAGCGTTACCACCTTCCTCTGTGTATGTGCACTTGGCTCACGCGATGCCTTTATCAATGCGGGGCGCTGGGATGATTGGATACCCAGTGCCACGAGTTGTAACGCTGCCGCCCGATTCCTTTGCCAACGGCCTCGGTTTTGCCGTTAGCGGCGCGCAGCCGGCGGTCATGGTCAGCGTCGAAGCTGGTCAGCCCTTATCCCCGGATGCACGCATACCTACCGGGAAGTCAACTGCCCTGCCAGCTTGTTTGTGCTCAGCATCCCGGATTTCTCGCCAATTAGGGGGCCGGGCTGATCGAGGCGGCGCCATGACTGATGACATACTTGTCGAGGTAGGACCTGCACCACATCAAAGAGTCGCATTTCCAAGAAGCACGATTTGTGCCATGGCTTTGGTATGCTCATATCGGCTGGTCATAGATCTGTGGGCGAAGCTGTTTACACCTGAGTCACAGTGAAATCATACGCGAGGTGCAGCGTGGTAGGTCAATTTTCTTTTCGTCACCAATGCACGATCGCCGGCCAGAGTTCATGAGATGGCATGCACCCCTTTTAGCGGTTGCCGAGTTTGAGCCTCGCGTCAACAATGGCGATCGTGTGGGCAACATTCGCCTAAAGGGCGATTTTATCGTTCCATTGGACCGGGAGCGCCAGCAGCCCCTGGGGTATCAAGAGCTAACGATGGAGGATTTGCATCTCAACCTGGATTCTCCGCCTCGCACACACGGTCACACGGAGCGCGATCGACTGTTGGCTCGAGCTGCAGCGTGCGTGTACCTGAAAGTTTGATCCTAGCTATCCGCCAAAGAATTTTTTTTTCTCTTACAGCTGACCATCGTTGGCTTGATTCTGTTCGACAGGGATCACGCTCACGCCAGTGAACTCTTACGACAAGGCAATATCAAGGGCGCCTCGGCCATTTTGACACGTGCTCTGGCCGATGTGGTGAGGATGTAGTCGGAGGTGGCCATCACGCTGCAGTCACAGCCTGTCTCCGTGCGTGCAGCTGACCGACACTGCCTTTCTGTCGTTCTGGGCATAGAAAACGGGGCAAGCCAGTTTGATCCCGGAAAGAGTCGGTCCGGCCGGTGTGTCCACGCATCCTCGGCGTGATGGTGCGCCTCCTCAGAGGCATGCACAGCACGCGCACCATGGGACGCAGCGAGGCGCCTTTGCTCCAATCCTGTGCCCCATGCCCCAGGCTCACCCACGAGCTTTCACAGCGCGTCCGAAGCCAATACTGGGTCAGCACTGTTGTCCTTCTCGAAGCTTGTCGACTCTTGGGTTTGTCGTCATCTGGTCTGGATTTCACTCACGTATCTATCATGTTCGGCGCAACGCGTGGCAGCCGTGCCAGAGGCCTTGCCCACGACCAGCAGGGTGTTGCGCTCTGTGGACAGAGCGCATTTACGTTTGCAAGCGCCCGAAGAGCCAATGTCGCCATTCATCGCCATGAGTGCTTCAAACTCATGCCGTTGAGGGCAGTCCCAGACGCCATCCACGTCTCACGTCTTGGCTTGCCGAGGTTGAAGGCTGCATGGTCGCCCGATTCAGGCACAAGGGTGGCCGAGGCCCGCTTGTTTGACAATGGTTGTTTTATGTTGTGTTGTTTTATCTTGTCTTGTCTTGAAAGCGCTTTCAGCAAAGCGCAAAGGCCCTTTTGACTGACCACACCCGCCGACGCGCACCGAACTGGGCGTGTTTGCCTAAATTGAGAATGTAACGCCAAGGGCTGGGTATTAAAAGGCTTCGCATGGCGAATTGATTGATCGGAGCCTGACAAAGACAGGCCGCAAATAAAAATGTTGGATATCGTGGTGCTGTCATCGCTCGAGGTGACGCACTCTCATGGCCGGTACAGAGGACTGGCTCATGCGACTCGCGGGCCACGACTGAGGCGTAGGTATGATCGCAGATCATCAAGGGCCCAAAGGGTTCCAACGGCGGTAGCGATGGCAATGCCACCGTAATAGCCCGCGTCGAGGCTCCAACCAGGGCGGCGTTGAAGCAGGGCGCTGCAGATGCGCGCAAGGGGCACAGCCACACAGGCTTTGACTGTGAGTTGACCAGCTAGGTTGTGCAGCAAGTAATCGCGACGAGAGGCGGACCACCACAGCGTCGTCGCTAGCAAAAGCCAGGGTGCGGCGAAAAGGGGGTTGAAGGTGTGAAAGTGGATCACGTGTGGGTGGTTTGTCATGGACAGTCCACTTCCGCTCATGGCCAGCATGAGCACGAGCGTCGCATATCCTCCGTAGCGATGTAAGCGCGCCCAGCGTGCGCCCCGCGCCGGCGAGGCAGGTGCATCGAGAGCTAGCGCCGTGTACTTTTGCCCATGAGCACCGATCACCAAAGCCAGTGCGGTCAGAGTGTGAAGGCTGAGCGGCACCTCGGGCAAGGCACCGCGCATGAGCATGTGTACACCGGTGTCACGGCTCACGCTGAGCTGGTATGGGCCCACCATCTGTTCCGACTGTCGCGGAGTCCATAGGGCCTTGAGACCATATGCCACCAGACCGGGCACCGTGAACCAGGTTGCCCAACGCGTATACGCATCTTCACGATTGGCAGCCAGCGCCTTTGCCCGCTCTGTCACCCACGACGCCATGGCAGCTCCACCTATGATTTCATTCGCTCCGACCGATCCGTATGTGTGTGTGTGTGTGTCGCAGGTCGCTCGCTAACTCTCTCAGCCTCTCAGTCTCTCAGTCTCTGTCTCTCAGTCTCTCACAGTCTCTTGAGTAACGGTCGCAGCTTTTGTGCAACCGTTTTCTTCGTCTTCTTGTTGTACTTTTTTTTTTTTTTTTGGCGCGCTAACGGTCATTTGGCGCTGCGCACTTGAACTGCTTGACGAAGAGGGAAGGCCGGCCTGTTCGTGTGTGTGACTGCTTGTTTGTTTGTCCAAGGCGGTGTGTTGGCTGGCCGATGACACGATAGTGTCGTGGCATCCAGGCCAGTGGGTGTCAAATCATGGCTACCCAGATTCGTTTAGCTCCGCTTTTCTCCCCAACGGGAACCGTTGCAGATCCACCAACGGGCACCAAGGCACAGCGACAGCTGCAGCGCCGCAGGAGCGGAAAACTGCCGATCGCTTCCATGCCACCCCAGCTCTCCACCACACCAACGCGACGCTTGCGCTTTTCATCCAAGCCACCAGCCCCCGACGAGGCGCCTCCCCCAGATGATGCCGTCGACCGCGCCCGGGCCCGCCTGGCTCGTCAGCGCCACCGTCGAGCCTGCCTCGGGCGGGCCGACGAAGAAGCCCACACATGGGATATTCTTCGCCAGCGCCGTGGACAGCGATCTCGTGTACCTCGACCTGGTTTGTTGGTTGCCCCTCATGTTCAAATTTGTTTTTTGTTATCTTGTGAGCTCACTGCCTTCCTCTCGGTGTGTAGAGCTGACGCTGCCTGCTCACATGCCTCAAATCCGCAAGTACAATGTGATGCCCGATGAAGAGAGTTTTCTTGCGACTAGAGTCACGGGTTGCGGTGCGTCAGCTTTTGGTGCTTTGTATCCTAAATTGCTTGCGCGCAATCAATGACTCGTCAAGCCCGTCCGCCTAACCTTAGATCTGGAGGGTGGTTATGCCATTGCGTATGGAGGCACGCACGGGGAGCTCGGCTTTGTATTCTTTCGCAATCCTCCTTCATCACGCCCTCAGCACGATGCAGCCTCAGCTCAAGCCGGTACGACGGCACAGGATCACACCCTTTGGCCTTTACCGCATGTGCCTTCGACTCACTCCTGCTGCGTCGCCTGCAGACATGGCCATGGTGCACACCCACGAACGGTCTGCTTTGGTTGACCTGGGATTCCAGTCTGCTCAGCGACGCTTGGTACGTTTGCGTAGTCGGTTGCTGTAGAAGTAATAATCTTTGCTGTTGTGGTTGTCTCACTCGCCACTTGCATTCTTTCTCCCTTTTTCGTGCAATGACCTAGGTGGCCGTCAATCAGGCCAAGGTTTGCATTTATGACATTGATCGAGCAGCTGCGCAGGCCGACGCCAGCGTATCTCCTTTTATCGCTGTGGTGCGTGCATCGCCGTCGCGCCCAGCAAGCTGTCAACGCTGTCAATGCATCTACACCCGAGCTTACACATGCATGCGCACACTCGTCGCCTTGTGGTTCCATAGGGAACCGTCAACTTGCTTCAAAAGCCCACGTCACTGTGCCTAGTTCCTGACACCCCTGGTATGTTCATGCAGATTGATGGGGCCGGCTCTTGGCCTGATCTTCGTTTTTGTCAGCAGAGGCATGGCTCGTGGAATTGCATCGTTTACATGTTGGTGGCCCCATCTTACACTGTGATTGTTGTAGACGTGGGGCTGGTCGGGACTCGCCACGGAACCCTCTGGCACTTTGACATGCGCATGTCAGGTGAGGCTGGCTCCTCAAAAGCTTGCGTTTGACAATTTAGCCGCGGGGGTTGCGGGTTTGGCTGGCCCGAATCGGAAAAGCTGATTCCTGGTGCCATGCGATCCGGACTGACGAAATGTGTAGATGCAGTGGCAGCAAGCAGTGCGCCGGCTCATTACTTTACCAGTGTTAAGCGAAACCGGACGTATCGAAGCGGCGCTTCGGTGACGAGCGTGTGTTTGGCTCCTGATGGAATGCACCTGGCCACAAGTGGGAGTGATGGGTATGTCATTGGCATTCGAAATCCTGCGGCTTTGCTGCCTCGACTGAGTGAGCACCATTGAATGCTCTCATTGCTCGATTGAATTTTCAGGCTGGTGCGGTATTGGGATCGCCGTTTTCTCGACGCTGAAGTTCAGGATCCCTTTGATGTGGCTGCCAACCACCGGATCGCCACCGGAACAACTCATTTCAGCCGAGGTATCTGCCACTCGTTCTTGATTCTCTACTACAGGCTTTCCATCCGTTGAGGCCCTTGTGGCAACCTCATTTGTCGATTGTGATATCTTTCAGGCATCATCAACTTGTCAATGGATGCCAATGGGCAACGCTGTGTGGCTGGCCTTGTGAACCATCGTATCGCCTGTATTCGTGACCTCTTTTCGCCCACGCCACGAGGTAAAGCTAAATTGCTCCTCCGCCCCCCCCCCCCCCCCCCAAAGGGTTGGTTTCCCTTCTTGGGCAAGCC